AATGTTACTGAACTATTTGTGGATATTTTCTGTGATTTTTACTTTCAACACTAATTTTTCATTTTCTCTAAATTTTATTGAATTAACAAGCAATTCTTCATTTTATATGGCTAACAACTTAGATTGCTATTTATCTTCGATGCAAAACTTTGAACTTATCTATATCAGAATAATTGCTATGTTAATTTTGATAGCTATGTAAATATTAATAATTTGGATTGGGTTCGCATTTTATGCTAAATGTAAAAATTGGACTTTCAACAAAAGTATTATTTCGAATACATTATTATATTTATATGTATCAAATTATGCTGCTCTAATCAAACAGTAATTCATTAAATCATCAATTTTTAGGTTGTGTTCAATTGTTTCAAAGAGAGAAATTTCAACTATTTCTTACATTCAAGGAGATGTTTCTCTAATTTATGGAACTGACAATCACATGTTTTGGATTATTATATTAGGTATTCCTGGCCTTGGTGTAATTGGGGTATTAATCCCCTTTACTTTATTTGTTGTAATGTATATGAATAGGGAACAACTAGATAAAATTAAGCTAAGAAGACATATTTGTTATTTATTTAATGAATATAATTAAGAAAGCTACTATTGGGAACAAATTAAACTATCAAAAAAAACAATTATCATAATTATTCTGACATTTTTTGAAAGTGATGTATTACTGATGGCTTCGTTGCTTGGATTATGTTTGCTTTTCTACTAATTATTAGCAGTAAAATAGAAACCTTACATCATTTAAAGTTTGAACTTTTTAGATATTCAAACAGGATAAATTTGCTCTATATCTATATTTATTAGTGCAGTCAAATATGTATCAGAAAAGGGTAATGTTACAGCATTATCAATTGTACTTTAAATTTTTATCATCATTTTGTGCATCAGATTGTGCTATCCATTTATGATGAATATTTTTAGAGTCTATTTTAAGAAATATAAGCTACCGTTCATTGAATTTGTTTATAAAATTTTAAGAACAATAAAAGCTGATTGTTTTCTTAGTAGATATTTGAATAATCAATTAAGGAAATTGAATAATAGAGAGTATCGTCGAAAAACCAATTTTGCCAAATTAAGAAACCACTTAATTCAAATATCAAAGTTGTAAATAGGACACTAAAAGTAATTAATATATATAATTAGACAAATGGTTTCAATGATGAATTCATAATCAACCATAAGATATCGTTAAATTGTAACAATAACAGATGCTGAAATGAATAAGTTAGCAAGTCCTTGAGCCCGAGGGTATTACTTTTTAACAATGATTGTATAACAATAAATCCAAAATGCAAATTTATAATAAATTATTTCAAATAATTGCAAATTTGGCTCCTTCTTTACTAAAACATTATGTACATATCTTATTTTTACAATCCTTTAATGTGTTAAATATAAATATAAATTGAGGTGCATTATTCTATTCTTTAAATTCTCTTTGGATGATAAGCAATTTAATTCTTTGCATCAAACATAAAACAAAATCCAGCAAGTCTAAATTCAATTAAACTTATCCTAATCAAAAAGATCTTGTTGCAAATTCAAACCATAAAAAATTCTATAATCGAAATTAATTCTAATTACCTTGGTGGTTTTGAAATAGAAAATTATATTTATAAATAATTAGAATCTTAAGTATTTTCAATTTCC